TCAGGTAACAGTGACTCCCAGGGTGGCAATCAATCGACGAGCAGGCCAGTTTTCCAGGATGGAATGGGCCCTAATGACATCGGTCAAGCTTACAAAACGTACAATCAACGTGGACAATCGAATTACACGTACATGGATCGTCTGGCAGAGCAGGCGAATGTCGCCGAGGCCGAGGATTGTGACGTTAATTCCGGAATTCATGGCAACTGGACTATTGAAAATGCTAAATCAAAGTTACATCAATTTATGCAAACAAATAAGATTAATGCGGATTATAAATACACCCCAGTTGGTCCTGATCACACAAGGTATGCCTCAATCACGCGGTTGGCCATCGATAAATTTTAGTTTTATCGAATTGTTATCACCTGAAGACAGCTTTGGAGTACACATGGAATAATGAGAGTATTTTCAAGCAATCAAAACTTTCATTGATGTTATTCACGTCGATGTTAGTTTTGGTGATGGCTCGATCCCATGACTGTGATTTGTGTGCTCCAAAGCCGTCTTGTGGATACTCAATCATGAGATGGTGAGTTTTTTATTGTTGAATTTCACATTTATCGTTCGCTTTGTTTATTTGCGTAATTAATAATACACTAATACGTATTAATAATAGCATTTCATACTATAATTGATACATGAGTTAATTTCATACATTATTTAGAATTATTTTCTGCTCCTTGTTGTCTTTATTATTAAAAATTTGAATAATAATAACGATGAAAATTAATATGAATTTTTTATTGGGTAGGAGTTTCATGGCGGAAATGACGATTTATGTCAAACAATTGGGGAGAAGTAAGTATTTTCGGCATTGGGGGGAATGAAATTTTTATCTGTGAATCGATTATTTTTATTCGTTTCTTTAGATGTCACAGGACGTGAGACTGGGTCCAACAAGCAGACAGCTTCCAAGAGCTGTGCTCTGTCACTGGTTCGTCAATTGTATCATTTTGGAGTGATTGAGGCATTCACTGGGACACTGAAGAAGAATAAGGATGCGGAGCAGCTGAAGCCCTATCCCGTGAAGATATCCCCTGAACTCGAGGAGCAAATTCACGACGTGCTAGCAGCCCTGGAGATTCATCCGATTCAAGTCAACACAAAACCTTCAGTTGTAAATTTGCATTTTTAATCTCACCAGAAAAATTCTCAGCAGTAAAAAAATTCACCGAGTGATTACACAATTTTTCAGGCGGATGGAAAAACAGAGGCGATCACCGGAGGTCTCTCCCTCCTGACAGACCGTGTCTTGGAGGATTTTATCTCGTCAATTCCCCAGACAGCAGGTGTTGTTAGCTGGTCTCCACCGCAGCAGAATTGGAATCCCTGGGTGGGCTGCAACATCGACGAGGGTCCCCTGGCGACGATGTCCCTGGACAAGCTGTCGACAGACATGATGGAAGAACGACGTGAGCGTATGCAAGGAAATAATCAGCTACAGCAGAGCATTCGAGATCGAGAGAGTCTCCCAGTCTTCAACATGAGGAATCAGATAATGAACGCGATTAATGACAATCCAGTGATCATCATCAGAGGCAATACTGGTTGTGGCAAGACAACTCAGGTGTGTCAATTTATCCTGGATGATTACATAGCCTCCGGCCAGGGTGGATACGCCAGTATTGTGGTGACCCAGCCTCGAAGAATATCAGCTGTTTCAGTCTCTGATCGAGTGGCAGTGGAGCGTTGCGAACCTCTGGGACAATCTGTCGGTTATTCCGTTCGTTTTGAGTCCTGTTTACCTCGTCCCTACGGCAGCATAATGTTCTGCACCGTTGGTGTACTCCTCAGGAAACTGGAGCAAGGACTTCGCGGTGTCTCCCACGTTATTGTCGATGAAATCCACGAGCGAGACGTGAATTCCGACTTCATTATGGTCCTCCTACGAGACATGATCCACGTCTACCCAGATCTTCGGGTCATCCTCATGTCAGCAACAATCGATACGACATTATTCAGTGATTATTTCAATAAGTGTCCAGTAATCGAGATCCCAGGGCGTTCCTTTCCTGTTCAGAAGTACTACCTCGAGGATTGTATTCAGCTCACTACCTTCGTACCACCTATGGACACGAAAAAAAGAAAGAATCGAGAGTCTGAGGACGTGGACAACGAGCCCGAGGAGAACCTCAACAAAATCATCGACAAGAATTATTCAGAGTCCACCAGGAATTCCATGTCGCAGCTCTCGGAGAAGGAGATTTCCTTCGAGCTGATAGAATCCCTCCTGGAGTATATCAGAAAACAGGGAATCCCTGGGGCTGTTCTCATATTCCTCCCCGGGTGGAACATGATATTTGCTCTTATGAAGCATCTCCAGCAGCATCCACTCTTCGGTGGCTCTCAGTACCTCATCCTTCCTCTCCACTCACAATTACCCAGAGAGGATCAACGAATGGTTTTTGATTCAGTACCACCTGACGTCACCAAGGTCATCCTCTCGACGAACATCGCCGAGACATCGATCACAATCAATGATATTGTCTACGTAATCGACTCGTGCAAAGCCAAGATGAAGCTCTTCACGTCCCACAACAACATGACTAATTATGCCACCGTCTGGGCGAGTAAAACTAACCTGGAGCAGAGGATGGGACGAGCTGGAAGGGTGCGTCCTGGATTTTGCTTCCACCTGTGCTCCAAGGCGAGATTTGACAGAATGGAGAACCACATGACCCCAGAGATATTCAGAACTCCTCTTCACGAATTAGCACTGAGCATAAAGCTCCTGAGACTTGGTAACATCAGTAAATTCTTGTCAAAAGCTATTGAGCCGCCGCCAATCGATGCTGTCATCGAGGCTGAGGTTTTACTGCGGGAGATGAAGTGTCTGGACAAGAATGACGAGCTGACACCCCTGGGAAAGATCCTAGCAAGACTGCCAATTGAACCCAGACTGGGAAAAATGATGATCCTTGGTTGTATGTTCAGGGTTGGCGATGCACTGTCAACAATGGCTGCCAACAGCACGACCTTCCCCGAGGTCTACAACATGGGACCAGATATGAGACGTCTGTCGATGCAGCAGAAATTGTTCGCTGGTGCTAGATACAGCGATCATGTTGCCATGCTTCATGCTTTTCAAGCTTGGGAAGAGGCTCGTGCTGGTGGTGAATACGCTGAGCAGACGTTCTGTGGTACCAAGGGATTGAGTCTGCCAACTCTGCGTGTCACGTGGGAGGCGAAGAATCAACTTCAGGGATTACTCAAGGCTGCTGGCTTTCCTGAGGAGACACTGTGCCCTACACCACTTAATTATCAGGCTGGGGCTGATGTAAGACTCGACACCATCACAGCTTTACTCTGCATGGGACTCTATCCCAATGTATGTTATCACAAGGAGAAGAGAAAAGTCCTCACCACTGAGTCCAAAGCTGCACTCATTCACAAGACATCTGTCAACTGCAGCAATTATGATCAGACCTTTCCCTATCCCTTTTTCGTCTTTGGAGAGAAAATAAGGACTAGAACAGTCTCCTGCAAGCAGACTACTCTTGTCTCTCCCATTCATCTACTTCTCTTCGGCTCCAGAAAGGTCGAGTTTATCGATGGTTTTGTCAGGCTCGACAACTGGATTAATTTGGAGATGAATCCTGAACAGGCAGCAGCCATTGTTGCACTGAGGCCTGCACTCGAGGGGCTCGTTGTCAGAGCTGCCAAGGATCCTGAGACCATTCTTGAGCTCAGTCCCGTCCAGGAGAAGGTGCTCGCTGTGATCAGGGGACTCTGTGGAATGAATGCTGGACGACACGAGATGGAACTCATCACTGGAGGTGGTTTTGTCTCCAGGAGACCACCCAGGGAACATGTCACAGGGTTTACTGGTAATTGGGGGAGTGGATTCGGTGGGGGGAGTGGTGGATTCCGTGGTGAAACTTCCCCCAAGTTTATGAAAGGGAATTGGGGCGTTAGGGGTGGCTTCAGAGGGGGGTTTAGAGGGGGGTATGGAATGGGAGGTGGTGGAAGTGGCGGTGCAAGACCTCCGGGGGGATATTACCAAAGGTATTGATGGATAGTTGATGATAAAATCATTTTTGGAAGTAATTTCATCAACAAATGAGAGGAAAATTGGAAACGAAGAGAATAAATATATATTTCATTAATTTCGATTAAATAATTGGAGGAATTAATTGTATCGATTGTAATCGTGATCAATAAATATTTGTCAATGAATTTAAACGCAGCTCTGCATTCATTTTGTTTAGCAATTATTTATTACAAAAATCATAAAGTTTATATGAACAGTATTCCCTTAGTCCTTCGTATGTACGAAAAATTTAACACTTACAAACTAGTGTACGTACAATGTATAATTGCATTGATTTACCTTTAATTTCGTGAGTTTATTTTGCGATCGATGTTTGCACAATCAGAATTTTCCATCGATCAATTGAAAATTCTGGAAAAATTCTGGAAGCATCAGGTCGATGATGGATATGACCGTGAGTATGGCCAGTAAGAGGATTGCGTAGGTCTCGGGCCCAGTGAGGGCCCGGGAATTGGAGGATTGTCAGCTGTTGCAGGTACACACAGATGATGATGAGAGGTACATGAACCTCGAAGTCCTGTCGATGATTCAATAGTTATTCCAGCCTGCGCCTGGCAAGCTAACATCAACCCGTGAAAATCGAATTTGTAAGCGTAACGTTTGCCATGGACTTTCGTCATTATATTTTTGTCGTAATAATATCTGTAAAATACATTTTCTTCATCAATCTTACGATTTATATCAAATATAACAATAATAATAATAATAATATCAATAATATCAATAAATTACAATCAATACAACATTATCATTAAATTATTATTATTACTATTATTAATATTATTATTATTATAAAATTATTATTCTAAAGAATGAAAATAATGTGAGCATAAAAAAAAAATTCAAAAGAAACGAATAGTGTAAAAAAAAAATGCCCAATGCCTTAATCCAGGAGATGAACCTCTTGACTCACCTGAGAGCTCTGGAGAGTTTATCATAATTCATATTTGGTTTGCTCTTTCGTTCACCCCATCTGCGTGCAACCTCATCAGGATCAGTGAGCTTGAATTCACCATTGGTACCCTCCCAAGCAATACAACCTGAATTTGACGAATCAGAGAGTAGCTCGAGGAGGAATTGCCACAGCTGTACTTGTCCTCCACCGACCGCCCCCGAGTTACCGCCACCGCTGGATGAGCCAATCAGGGTACAGCTGCGCTGGAGGAGGCTGAACCTTTCTGTTTTGTTTTTTTTTTTTTCATGAGGACAGACAACGGGAAATATACAGATGATATGGTGTAATTTAGGGGTGACTGTCAAACTTTTGGTGGATTGAATAAAAAATAAAAATATATGCGGTATATAATGTTTATGATATATTGTATTTTTTGGATTAAATATTTCGCGACTACATTATTAAGATTATATTGGAATTATATCGTTGATTATATCATTTAAAAATATATTATTGTTATGAATTATTAATATATATAATATATTAATAATTATAAATATATCAGATTAATTTATCAAATTAATTGAGGGATCAATAGATTTATTTATTTATCACATATTTTTTATGTACCATTTGTAACCGATCAAAACACGCGATAATCACCGGAAAAATAGATTCAGCTGATAAATCTCTTAACAGATTGAGACACAAACAAATGTCCGATTTTGACAATCACCTGGACAAAAAAAAATACAATAGAGACCGCCCAATTTGCCGCCTGCGGTGTTCCAAAGTAATCGACCACCCAGTTATATAATAAATTCATTGGTTTCCCGGAATCCACGAGTTATCGAGATAAAACATGGAATGACAAAGTCACACCGACAAAAAACAAATTTCATTTCCAACTTGATTTAACGGTTTCTCTTTAGAAACTGTGAGTTGACAAAAAAAAAAGTGAATGAAAGAGTTCATCAGTTGATGCCGATCAGATCGAAGAATTTCCGATTCTCACGTCTTGTGTGGCGCCAATAATGATATATTATTATTATTGATATTATTATATTAATTAATTGGAGGCATCACTGAAATCATTCCACAAATCTCGACGCACACAGGAACAATAAATATTATATATCAATATTAATTTATTATTATAGCATATTGTGAATGATTTGATTTTTTTTCTTTGAGAGACTTCCGCGAATTTTTTCCATGGCGTTTAAAAATCGAGGGACGGTTTTATTTATTGTTATTAGGAATCATTGGGGGTGGAGTATTGAATTGTTTATTGTATACCGTTATAAAAAATTGCGGCTGTCGGATGAAATCTTGTTTCCGGCTGATGTAAATGCAAAGGGTGAGTTTGAATTCTCCACATAACGCGCCAATGACAATTTTATTGTAATTCGATAATTGTCTCCCGCATTTTAACAATTTTTTTACACTTCACTCGCATTTTAATTACTGGGGAGTTTGTTGGTGTTTTTATTGGATAATTGAGGGGAAAATTGAACTGCATTTGATGCGCATTGGCCGGTGGACAGAGAGAATCTGGCAAACCTTTCGTCCCAGAGATTTCAGCCCTTATCTACCTCCCCCTCTACTTTCCCCGGGGTGGAGAACCACCCCCAAGACTCATCCCCATTTCTCCCTCTCAATCTTCCCCGATAATTTTTTAACTAACAATTGCATCTCCAATTGTTGCATTTAAAAGACTCACGCCCCCACAATGAAAAAATAAAAAATTCTCATTTCGTTATTCTGTTGACGAATTTTCAACAAGAGATTGTTATTTAAATATTTCATTGCAAATGTTTTAATATTTCAGTAACAAACATGATTCAAATATTCTAATCCTGAAAACTCGGGGCTTAAATTATTTTTTTTTATCATTTTTCAGACGATCGGAAAATTTGATCGCGTGAACGACAATACCTTCAATAAAATTATTATTAACAAATACTATTATACATTGTCATTGAGAATAATTATTTTAATTTATCTATTTACGTGGATATCCCATGGATTTAAACTTGTGTTATGATTCGTGAGACAAGTTCTCCTGATTCTGTTTTGACGTGTGACTTTTATATCGTCGTGGTAGCGAAATTGGCTAACGCGTCAGGATGAAAATTCAGTGCGGTTTTGCGATATCTGTTTTAGCTTTCTAAAGCCCTTTTTCTCCAAGCGAATAGCTCAAAGCAACTTGTGAGGCCCAGAATCGCGGACCGATAACTGAAGCAGATTTCTGAAGATCTCGGTTCAAATCCGAGTCACGACAATTTTTTTTTCTGATTCCATTTAGTACGCCTTCGAAAAATATTCATTACTCCCTGCTGCTTCTATCCGCAATACAATAATAATAACAACAGCAATAATAATAACAACAGCAATAACAAAAAGACAGCAATAAAAAAAAATTACTTTAAATAATCGAATGATAATTTTATGCCTCAATATATTCGGAGATAAAATTCAATTGTATTATTACGTATTTATTTATATTTCATTCATTTAAAAAGATGATCGATTGATAGTTTTGGGGGTGGATATATCCCGGGGTGAATGTTCATCTGAAAAACAATATAACCGCCCCCCGCAGTGAGATTACCCACCCCTAGGTCAGATTTTCGCCGTTGGTGCAGAGGTGAAAATGGCAGCCATGTCTTCGGTATATGTACTTTATATATATATATCAACCCCCGGCTGCAAGACACTATATAACAGGGCTCTTCACCCTAAACACTCGATGGTTTATTCATGAGGGATTTCTCGTGATAACACACTCATTCCTTTAATAAACGACGAGAGGCCACACCGGCGAGTATAAACCCACATGTATTATTCAATCCATTCGATAGTTTATAATTATATCGATATAATTATTGGGTAATTGTATTAATTTTAATTATAATTTTTGATGAATTTTTTTGGAGTACGTCGGTTTATTTATTTGGGAATCGCCAATCCGTGTAAAATATATTGAATATATTAAATATTCAATATTTTTTGAATTATTATATATTTAAAATAGTTTAATGACGCGTTATATATTTTAATTATATATAATTAATAATGGCAGATTTTTGACGTTCAATTGGAAAGTCGGGGGAATTTTTTTGAGGAGAAAATTTAACAGAAAGAAATGAAAGGTAAAGATTTTCGGACGCAATCTTTTTATCGTTAATAGATCGGAGTCGATCGCCATTGACCGGATATACCCTAGATAAAGCCGAATGTAATGGGAATAAAAAGTTGGGGTCCAGGAACTTAAACGTCTGGTGGCAAGTGTTGAATGCTCCCTGGGGAGCTGTTAGCCTTTTCCGGTCACTTTCGCACCCTTAATTCATGGGTATATACGTATATACGTGGGTATGTGAGGAAAAATCCCATGTAATCCTCTGTCATTCGAATTTACGGGGGAAAATCTATTATTCCTGGTGTACACTGAGATTATCGAGGATTGCATCGACTATTTCATGATTTCCCGGGGATTTTATCAAGTTGGAAATATTTATTTTCTATTATTTATTTATTTTACATCAATTACTCAATTTGTGGATTAAATGAATTTAAATTATTTGAGTAATTAGATTTGTGATTACAAATTCATTGCAAAAGGATTGAATTGAATTTGAATTTTAAATCGAACAATCGAAATTACTAAAAAATAATCGACTTTCATTTTGATATTGAAGAATTGTTTTTAAAAGTGGGAATGAAAAATTAATTAACGCTCGAATTGTGGTAAACAATAAAATTCGGTACGAACCATTATTTTGATTGTCCTCTTGGAGAAGATCCTGACAATGAATTCCAGTCGCCTGGAGGTGCAAATATCCCAGATGCCGAGCCAATATCTGACCCCCTGGAATTTTCCTCCAGGAGTCGGAGGAGATTTCAAGAAGTGCTCGACCCGTTCCCGGTAATTCGTCATGCGATGGCAGTGGATTTATCGAGAAGACGCGTCCACACCAGGACAACCAGGCCGCCACGTGGGTTGAATTCCAGTCCGACGGATCTTAAAACACAAAAAAATATCCATTAACAATTTACAAATTAACAAATAATCGAGACTAAACTGAAGAAAAAAAAATAGAATCTCTGGTGCTAAATTTAATCTCAATTAATAAATTTGAAAAATAAATTCAATTTACACAATGGCGATCAATAATAATAATTAATTAATTGAGTATGTGAATCAATACGTGATTTAATGCCAGAATTTGCGTAGTGTTTTCCTGGAAATGATGACTCACTTGTTGGTACCATAACTCGATCCTCATTATTCGCTGGATCACTGAATTCCCGATTAATCGTTTTGGATTCACTGCACTCATCACTATCGATCTCCAAATAATCACGGATATCAGGCCCATCCCCCATATTGACATCCCATTGACAGCTCCTCAGGTACTCCGGATAATCAAATAAATCACTGGAGATGATTTTAAAATCGACAAACGAATCGATTGGGGTGATGGTGCAATCATCTTGCAGCCAAGATGCTCGGGGTATTTCTTCTGGGTCTGAGCAAACACTGATGCCCTGGTAAGACCCAGAGAATACCTCCATTCCCCGATGATTCACAGACATCAGTTTCCTCACGACTCTCTCGATCGCCGCCGGATGAAAATCACGTTCAAGTGACTCGTTCACGTTTTTTTACTCCTTATTCTCGGTAACAGCTTTAAAATTCGTCATACATTTAACTGAAACATTCTTATTTACAACTTATTGATAAGGCAAAGTCCAAACGATGCGGTTGTTTAAATTATCGTGTCAATATTTATTATTATTTAATCCTATCATTTCCGAAAAATTCATTATCCATTCCCTCAATGAATTTTCAATTTCAATGATTTTATTTTCACTGCATAATTTAATGAATTATTAAATTTATCATATATATAAATTGCAAAATAAAATGAGAGAGGATATTGGAGATTGATTTTAATGATTTCGTTATGAAATTCGACATTTGAATGAGCAATTCGACATGCGCCAGTCTCTGGTCGATTCAAGAGTCGGGATTTCATTCTATTCTCAATTCCATATTTTTTTTTTCTTCTACTGAATGAGTCGATGGGAGGGGATATCTGTAGTAGATTCGAAGACGTACTTTCCCGCGCTGGTTTCAATCCCCTGTGACGTCACCCCGGGATTTTTGGGGGAATATATCCTCTCACAGACGAGTGAATGGAAAAAGCGATCCAATTGGCAGCTGGAGATGCCCCGGAATTCCAGTTCCAGGAAATCTTGCGGATGAGATGGGGGGGTGCATCGTCCAGCGCTGAATCACCGGTCCACTGGCTCCTCGCCATCTTCTAAATTTTTTTTTTTATTCTCATTTCTTCACTGATGCCTTCCACTTCGATTTATCGATCCACTGATTGAACCGATAATTACCCTAATAAATTAAAAAGTATAAAAAAATGATTACCGGAGAAATCGTGGAATCGTGCGAATTATCAAATAAATTATGATCCATTTATTTATTGTTGGTTTACAGAACTTGAATCGAAGAATTGAAAAATGTAATATTCACTCAGGAATTAATGGCGGAGATAATTAATCTAAGGGCTCTATCATTGTCTTTTTTTTGCTGCTTTCACAGCCTTTGGTTTTTGCTTCTCTCCACCAGAGAGGAACGACGTAATGACCTCCGACATCTCCGGCATGTTGTAGCTCGTCAGATTGTTCAACTGCTCCATCTCCTTCCTCGTCTCAGGATCATTCATTATCTTCGGTAAAATCATGATAAGAACTAGTGGCAGAATCATCATGAGAACCTGAAAAAATCAATAGTTCAATTGCTAGGGGCGAATGATGTAATGTGTTTGCTGTATCTTTTCTCAAGGAATTCCGGGAAATTGTGCCGCAACAGCCTCACAACTTCTTTGGGTGAATTTACGATTGCTCTTCTCAGTATTCGTAATCCAGTTTGAAATACTGGGCGTTTGTGTTGGTATTTTTTAAAAAGAAAGTCGTTACACTATCGGAAAATATTTTTCTGTGGAATTCATTTCATTTCAAAAATTCAAAAAATAAAAAGGTTAAGAAATTGAATAAAAAATTCTGGGATTGATGCATAAATAATTATTTCCAGCGGATAAATCGTCGAAATAATTGACTGAACTTCTGGGAAAAGAAATTAGCACTTAAAATATCTCCCAACGTGTTAAACGAATGCATTACCATGGGATTGAATAAGAAATCTGTCACTCTCCACTGCTCTCTGACTTGGAAATACCGGAACGGTGTCACTGGTCTCATTTTCAGAGGATATGGCACCTGAATAACCTGAGAGGTCTGAATCAAATTGACTTTTCTCGCCCTGAATTTCCCCTTGGAGTTTATCTCCACTCGCATCGGTTCGTACGCGTAATTTGGATTTATTATTTCAACGATGTACGATCCCGATGGTACATTGGATATTGTGAAAGTGCCATCCTCCCTGAAAAATTAATTCCAAATAAAGAACAAGCAATTATTATTACCAAAAATGGGAATTTAAAAATAACTGGAGAATTGACTGAAATGCGGTGCAGTTTTTTTTAACGAAAATTACTTTACAGAGAAAAATAAATAAATAGACGGAATAAACAACAAATTACCGCAAAAATCCATAATATTCCCCTCCATTGGCCATGACATGTGTCATAATTTGCCAGGCAGTGGCACCAGCCCCTTCCCAAGGGAAAACTTTTCCCTCGATGACATATAAATCAGTGGACGAGTCCTCATCTGTCTCAGCAATAACTAAACTGCAAATACACCCCAATAGAACAGCAAAAGTTAAATAATTCTTCCACGTCATGTTGATGTTCAGGTTATTCCATGAATTCCATAAACATATGACTTGAAAACGTCTGTAATTCAGAAGTTCAAAATAAATCAGCTTGACCAACAAGATGATTGCGTATTATTTTTACCCTCAAATTCCCTAGGTGTCTCAGAACTCTGCCGATAGAGTAGACACATGTTCTGGGGATTTGAGCGACCCCATCGGCATTGTAGTACCTCTTTTCCTTAGATTGTACGCTAAAAATTTATGTTGAAGGGGTTATGAGCACTTGTTTTGGTGCGAGTTGTTGATATTTTGTGAGAAACAATAAAAAATTGTCAGACATTTGTTATTAACGTCAAATAATTTAGCCCCTCGAGTTCGATAAACTATAAAAAATGTCGGATCTTTGTGAAGACATCGAAAATGATGAGGAATTATTGGAGCATAATTTCAGCAAGCAATGCTGTGAAATTTTGGAACAATACCCCGAAATCTTGGAGTTCATCTCAAAATTACAGGAGCACGTGAAGAAACAGCGGAAGAAGATATGCAAATTGAAAAATAAATTGATATTCCAGGTGAGCATTGAGTATTTCATTTCATTCATTAATTTCTTTTTAGTTATTGACACTTGGTTGAATAATTTCTGTGAAATTCTGATTTTTTTTCCAGAAAAAAAGTGAAGAGAATACTCTGGCGATGAGCCATGAGGAAAAAACAACTCAAACTGAGGGTCCAGAATCTTCTGCGTCGTCAAATCATTGGGAAATAAATTCTGAACAATCCGGAAGTATTACAGATCAGGTGAAACAAGTAGCTGAATCAGCTCTTCAGCAATCTGGTTTTGTTTATGAAGAAACATCTGGATTGTACTATGATTACACTTCAGGGTACTACTACGATGCTGTTAGTACTTGAAAAAAAATTTTACAAGCTCATAACACGATCTCTTATAAAATAATTTCGAGGCATTTTTATTTCAGAGCCAAGGACTTTATTACGATGGAAACTCAGGGACTTATTATTACTACGACGAGAGCACAAAATCCTACAAATTTCACAGTCAACCAACGACAGTTGACAAATGTGAAAAAAGAAGAGCCAAAGTGGCAAATAAGGTAGCTATCAACATTTAATTAATATTACCACTGTCCCCAAATTTTGTTAAGCATTAAATTGTCTCGATTTTTATAGAATAGTTGTGTCAATTTACTTGAGACAAAGATAAATTAACAAATAGTGAAATTTGAACAGATGTATATGCGAAAATTGTTCAATTGAATTTGATATTTTATTCCACAGGTTTCGGATGAGATACATGAGTTAATAGCCCGTGTTTCGAGTATACAGCTGAAAAGCTATACTCGGCACATATCAGGTAACTAGCCCTTGCCAATTCAATACGAATCTCTCTCTCTTGTAGGATGAGGCTAAAAGACTGAAAAAATGTACAACTGACACTGATGATGATCAAGAGGCACCGGAGGAGGGTGAATGCTCGGATAGTGATAACAACGCAAGTGGAAAAGAGACTAGCAGTAGTGATGATGAGAATGATGAGCAAGGTGGATTTATTATTTATCATGGATTTTTTTTCAGCTCATTATCGTTTAAATAAAAGAGAAGAAGATTCCGGAAAAATATCGGCTTTTTCTCGTAATATTTCGTAGAAAATTCTTTTTCATTTGAAAATATGCAATTCGAAGTGATTAATCATTTTATAATTACTCAATTATTTAAGGGCTCGAATATAGAGTAACTTGAGATTAAAATTGACCTCGTTGATATATTTTTTATTTCAGAATTGGCCAAGACGTATCCACCATGCATGAGGATAATTGTCAAGGAGACAAATCTCCAGAAATTAAAGGCTGGATCACTTTTCATTGTGGCGTATACTGGAGGTTCACTGGGACGTGAGGGAGACCATTCCGTACTCATTCCTGATATTAATATTAGCAAGGTATTGCAACGTGAATTCACGATTTTTACGGGATAATAAATATAATATTATGATCCAGCACCACGCAAAATTCCAATACGATGAATCGAAGAAGCACTACGAGATCGTCGATTTGGGCTCGAGGAATGGAACAATTCTGGATGGAAAGAGGCTGTCTGTCGCCAAACAGGAGTCAGAGCCCTTCAAAATATCTCACGGATCGATGATTCGAGTGGGGGAGACAAAACTTTTGTGTCACATTCATTGTGGGTATGAGACCTGTGGACACTGTGAGCCTGGATTGATTCAGCAGAGTGGAAATTCTGAGGGCTACGTCATCCCCAAGAAAACACAGCACAGATCTGAGCTGAAGAGGTTGAAAAACAAATTTGGAGTTGACAAAGATAATACAAATACTGCGAGTTTAGTGGCCAGTGGATACAAAGACAGGGCACAGGCCAGGAGAGTATGTGTGGGATCTTCTGATCATCACGTGAAGACACAACAGAGTTCTGTCGAGACGTACGTTCCATTGAATCAATTTTAAATCATTTTTTCACTCATGAATATTATGAACGAAATTTTTCATTTGAATTTCTTCAATTATTCTCCATAATATTAATTAGTATTATTACGATATTACTGCAAAATTGGATATTTTTATCGATTTATTCAAGGGATTTCGAAATTTTTATTGCAGATCAATAGCCAAGGACAATAAAGGCTTCAAACTCTTATCGAAAATGGGCTGGAGTGAGGGCCAATCACTGGGCAAGGACGGTGATGGGAGGACAGAGCCAGTAAGTAGATAAAATCAAACAAAATCCTAGGACTTTGCCCTCATTCTCTCTGCCAACAGGAAGGTGAAGAGGCGTGTCATTCGGTCGGGAAAAATAGTTATTTCTCGTTTCATGGTAACACCCCAAGTTCCGGTTGAATTGAAATAATGAGGAGTACTGTAAAACCACTTGCTATAATCATGTTTGTTTTACTACTGACGTTAAGTGTTCTCTCGGTGCGTGATGCAATAATTTTTTTCAATTTTTCTTCAAACGGAACTTGTCCTGGGAATTAACATTCGAGATCAGTCCTTTGGGTACCAGGCTCCTCTTTCTTAGAGTAATCTATATAATCATCTAGCTCTTCCCCATCCGTTTTTCTGTTCAACCGTAACCGATGGAAATAAATGGAAAGGAATAGAGATAAATACGGATGATAAAAAAATGACGAGAATGTGTTGAAAATGGGAATAAAAAATCGACAATGTAGAGAGAACAATCTGCAAGATCATTTTGTTCAGTGAGAATAAAATTACGTTAATTACCACTTGAATATAGCAGTTAGGCATTAATTTGGAATAATTAAAAATGCATATTTGAAGAAATAATTTCTACATGAAACAGATGAGACGAACAAGAACGAAAAACCGAATGGATAATCCAAAAGGTACCATTATCCCCTGACCACCGCAGTATCAAAAAATTTGTTGCCTCCAGTCGCTAATCTATTTCGTCTCGTGGGTTAAAACGAGTCTGACATTTCAAGAGGTGGAGGAGAGGAAGGGAAGAGAGCATTCGTATGATAACGAGTCCCACAAGTCCCTGCACACCAACGAGACTGAAAAAAAAAGCTAAAAATGAGACAAATAAAAATATCATAAAAACAGGAGAAAAAAAAAAGAGGAGAGAAGAGAAGAGTCGACGACATGGCCAGTGGGTTTTCGAGAGTTGGTGGAAGGGTAGTCGTCTAATTAATGCAAATCTACCAAAGTCCAAATGATTATTTTTCTCCCGTCTAGACGCATCCAAGTCCCATTGCATGTTATTCAACGTTTGTTTTTTTTTCCTTCACTAAAGTGTTTTTTTTTACACCGTTATCCTTTCATTTATCCTTTTTTTTTAGAGGGTGGGAGGGAGGGCCGGGGGGTTTATAGCTTGATACGTTTGAATGGATGATGGAGGACTCGGAGGAGAATTTGAGTTTTATGATCCGGTAATTGAGTTTGAGTAATTTTTTTTTAAATTTATTTTAATCCCCATTTTTTTTGGAAACGGGGAAATTCACTCTCTGCCCAGAGGCCAACGAATTCCACGAGTAAAAGTTGTTTCGGTTAATTGCCGATGGAGAAATTGTTTCATTGGAATATATTACCGTTGTAAACGTGAGTCATACGAAAATTCGTTGAATTATCTCATTAAATCGGAATAATCTTGAGTCGTGTATTTTATCTGAGAATTCCTGGAGACGAGGACTCCATTATAGTTATTCTAAAATTTATGAGATTTTCGTTTTGATATAAAAATTCGAGGTTGAACAATTTTTTGTAACCATGAATTGAATAAAAAATCGATGTAAATAATAATTAGAGGCAGATGGAGTGGGGAAAATTGTCGGGTCTTCATTTCTTCGACTGTTTCCACTTGAATAAATTTAAATAAAAAAAAAGTAGATAATTCGTTGACCGGACGAAAGGTATTACCCGCGTCCGTTGGTGCACAATTTTATGTACTAGCTTTTTTTTTTTATTTCTCCTCATTTAAACCGATGGATTTGAGCGCCATTTCCACGTGGAATTGAGGGAATTTTTTTTTTTTCCCGAAGACTCTCTGGGGGAAATGGAGACTCTGTTTCTTACGATCATTGAGACTTTGCAATTACCTCTCGGTACAGAATATCCCTTAGGCTGTACAGACACTCGATTGCGGTTCAACTGACGCTGATAAATGCATTCAGTGGATTAAACATCCGGCGGGTTCTCCATATTTTTGAGTTCAATATCAAATATATTAATATTAAAATAAATGATTGCTATTGTGATTGGGTAATTAATGATTGTTAAATATAAAGGGGTGAAAAATAAAATGTAAAGGGGATGAAATTGAATGGAGCGTCAGGTGCACTTGAAGGAGTCATGACCTATATCGTAAATACTCCCTGCAAGTGCCATAAACTTCAACATTGTAAAGTACCTCACGACGAAGGACACAAAGTACCTGTAAACAGTGCAAGTACCCAGTCGTTCAATTCCAAACGGTTAAACTAAAACGCCAAGCGATATCTTGCCGATGGATAAACCGAGAAATTCATCTGGTCTGAGTGGTTACGTATGTGATACACTGTATTTTAAACAGCAGTTTGTATATAAAAACAGGATATACTCGATCTTATTTCCTCAGGTATTTTACATCGCATGAATAAATGCACTGGGGAATGATGGTAAGAGATGCTTCCGTTTTATTTGTTGGAGCAGATGCACTAGAAAATCTCAACTTGCTACGGTTTTACGATTTACAATCTGCCATTTCGCCTCGAGCTGGCACTTTACAATTCCAGACTCGATTAATGACTCTTCGAGATTGCCACAGTGAATATACAACGTTGAAAATCTTTCAACCCATGAATTACTCCCACTTCGATATTATTATTTATTGGAATTATCAGTTAATGCGTTGTCTGTTGTTTATGATTTTAATCATTTCTGCTGATATATTTTTTACCTTTCCATTTACCTCGAGTCAATTACGTTATCACATTCATCATTTAGATGGATTACGGATCAATATTTTTCCGATTACTATAATAATAAATAATTTAATCGAATAATTATCGTTATTCCATTTTTTAATCATTGAATTGATTGTTCAACGGAGGAATTCATTCTTTTTTCGGATCAAATCAAAATCAAATATTAAAATCAGCAAAATCTCTCCCCCTCCCCTTCTGAATATTCCCCCCACCATGTGGCATGTGGGAGGCAACAGGTGGTAACGATTCCCCAGTCACAAATAAATCCAACACAAATTCCCTCACCGTCTAGACGCCAGTTTGCTGACTAACCATGGATACCAGATTACCCTGGGTCTCCGGGTGTCCATTTTTTCATTCTCACCTCTCACTAAGGCGAAGATAATCAATTCAACCAGTGGGAAGATCTATCCGGGGCAGAATCCCAGAACTTCACCGAGGAAATCCTCAATTTTCATTCTCCCCATCATCTCCAGTTTCCAGACTCTGGATCTCCAGTTGTTCCCTCGTCCCCTGGAAAAATAAAGTTCGTTGATTCCTGGATGGTGTAAAATAAATACACAGATGTATATTTTATTGAGCATGTACTAGCGTATGTACATGGAACTACTGCATTTGCATGCGTCGGCAGTTGGGGTATTTGCTGCACAGTATGCTGCAACTGCAGATTATACTCTGCACAGTTGATGTACATTTGGCTGCATCAGCGCATTCTCTGATCATTATTCTTGGTGATAATTTTATTTCACTGTCTCTTTGTCGTTCTTTTAGTTTTCGATGGGAATTGATTATTATTTAATGTGTCATTTGATAATTTTCGATGTGCAATTCTTCACCAAGAATTTTCCAGTTCATTATCCTCTCGATAATCCTCCACCCCCTCGAGCATAAAAAAAAAAGTTGCGTGACTGCTTTTCATCGGAGATCGTTACCCCCCACTCGGGGGCTTTTCCTTTCACTTAAAAAAAAACTGGGATAAATAAAGTCCTAAGAATAATACAAAAACCCTTTAAATTGCTCGATTAGGCTGGGTCAACTCGCCTGATACGTTATCATGTACACATAGATGTATAAATAGGTACCACGTGTATTGAGTGTTACTCTCGTACGATGAGTAAATAGGTGATTATATAGGTACTAGTAATGCGACATATTATGGGGAAACCTCCGAGTAATAATTTATGAAATTTCAAATTATTTGACAGATCCAGTGATTTTTTATTCCATTCATTATTAATATTAATATTACGTGAAAAATCATAAGATTTTCCCCTTAAATTCAGAACTCTCGACAAATTTTAATGAAGTCAATAAAAATTAATTGCTATTTATAAAATAAATTAATTTAATTCCGCGATTAATTTCGATGAATTTATAAAAAAAATTCATTGCGAGAAATGATAAGTGAAAAAAATGGGAAAAATTTTTTGCTTGCACGTAAACCCAAAGGAAAGCCCGGGGCATGGGTTTGCCCTATCACCAGCAGACGGTTTCCGTCTGGGTAAACATCCAACACCGAGGAGTACGATGTTAGCACATATATACACTCATCCATACCTATATTCTCACGTGATGCACGAAAGGGAGACGGAGATACTGAGACAAGTGGAAATGGATGGGTTTGTGGAGAAGTGGTTGTATACCACGGATATACCTGAGGAGAATCAAAGTGAGTGAGACAGATGGATGGTTTCTGGGATGCATTAGCTCATCCCCCTCCCAATGGGTGGTGGGTGGGTGGGAGAGAGAATAAGGGGGCTAGTCTAGTTGGAGAACAATCCATCACTCGGATTATCATACTGACGGTTTATCCTGTACATTCAATCTCTTTCCTCACAGTTTCATGTGGCCAGTTAACTATGTTGCTTCAGTTACTGTGTGGGTGTTTGTACATTTACCTAAACCAACTGGTCTATTCCATTCTATCTAGTTTAGGTAAATGGCAAGGGAAGGGAAAGGGGGGGATAGAGGGTGAGGATGAGTGTAACCAGTGTCTAGACGGCCAAACACGAATTAATGCTGTGCAAACAATGATGTAGTCTGGTGCATCGTAGACCGCATGCAGAGAGAATGGGGATAAATGTTTTTTTTTTTTTTTTGAGGGATTTGGATTTCAAGCTCAAGCCCATTCCCATTCCCCGGGGATTTTATTTAACCCTGGGGAGAGAATTCCAGAGAATTCCAGGGGTGGTGAATTTTATTGATGTTGAAATAATTTTACTAAATCGGTTGTACGGTATGTATCAACCCCTAGACGTCCTTTTCATTTATCAAGACCTCCAGACAATTTGCAATAAACCCGTGTGATCGTACGAATGATAGAATCACTCATTATCATCGCAATATTGCAATTGCACAACTGCAGATGCACAAGTGCGATGTCTGGGCCGGCGACATTCAACTTTGTCAAGGTATCCCGTATTATGCGATGGTGTACACGCATTCGATTTGTTAACGGAGAAATTACAAACAGGGACAAACTTTCACAACTGGCACGAGTTGTCTGGGTGTCTGCATTTTCAACCCCCTCATACCATCACCAACCACCCACAATCCACCACCCATCCACCCACACACCCACTCACCCACACATCCACCCACCCACCCACCCACCGTTTTACCCCAACTGCATGCACATCGTCTGGCGCAATACCAGACGGTACACAATTCAATATGCGATAACAAATACAACAAATATATCAAATATATTAAATATATAAAATTATAATATAATATACAAAATATATTGTATATTATTATTTTTGTTATTATTGCAGATTAATTGTTTTATATTATATAAAGTTTAATTTTTCAGATGAATTATATATCTTGTATATTGTTATTGTATATTATATATTAAAAATATGTTATTTTATATTTTTACAGAATAATTGTGGAAAAATTGGGGAAATTGGAGTTTGCTTTATCTTTCGATTGTAAAAAAAAAATAAAAATTTTTCCGCGTGGGTAGAGAATAGCTAATAATAGTAACTACTGGGTACAGTACATAGGCAAACCCTCGAGTGTCTGCGGTTAATCGGTAATCACGGTGCATTGCCTTCCACCGTCTAGCCGTCCTGGCCTATTTGCCCATTTTCCCACCCTCGTCGATTTCTACTCCATACCACCCAGAAATGGCTGACACGTCTGGCAGAACTATATCACTTGTTCTACAAGTCATTTAACGTCTATTAGACGAATTATCATAATGGCAAATTGCCATTATGCAATTGTCTTTCAGTCTCGTCGCTTCCCCCCATTTTTTAGGGGAACACATTCGGATGAAAAATCA